ATATTTTTGTTTTTGGATTTGGTACTTAATTTATTTTTATTGCATGCATGTGTAATAGAAATTGAATAGAAATTGAATAGGCATGCTATTGTGCACAGATTTTGAATAGAAATTGAATAGGCATGAAATTGAATACGCATGCTATTGTGCACAAATTTGTGCACAGACAGATTGGCAGATTGCTTTTCAATAGGCAGATGCTATGAAAGCATGAAACAATGTCAAATTTGTGCACAGATTAGTAGAAACAAATAGGTAGATACTTAACTGGGCCTTGCCATTTGATTGGGAGATTTGTGCACATATTAGTAGAAACAAATTGGCAGATTGGGCCTTATATGTCAAATTTTCAATATAAATGGTTGAATTTTAGCCCAAAAGAATAATATGTCAAATTTTAGTCCAAATCCATTTCGGGATTCTCAAAAATTTAGTTTGGGATCGGTATTGAAATTGGGATTCCCGAAAATTTTGGTTTGGGAATCGGGACAAGGGTTTCGGTATGGGATCCCATACCGAACCACCCCTAATTAGAAGGAATGAAATTCCTTCATAGCCAATCATCTTTTGATCTCCTCCAAATGAAAAACCATTCACTTGCATCCTCAACTTCCAATCCAATCGTATGTACCAAACCATGATAGAACTCCCACTTCATTTCTTACTCAATGTAACAGTAACAATACGTATTTATTACAATATTCAACTTTTACAACAACAACTGCTTTCTCTTACAACTTTCCTTATATAGCAGCTAGCTATCACTAAGAAACCAAATAACCAACTTCTCAATACCCCTCCCCCTTAAAATGAGTCTTGTAAAACAAGGCTTAAAAATAGTGTAAAACTCAAGTTGAACAACTGAAGAACATTACAACTAAACCACTTTAGGGAATGATTCTGAGAAGCTTTCACAAGTAGCTTCTTCCGGAGTATGATTCTGGCAGTGAACTAACACTTCAGTGACTACAGTATTGCCCCTTTTAATCATCCTTCTATCAAAAATTGCCAATGGTACATCTTGTAAAATATCAGCATTTGTAATCACTTGTGAATGAACAGTATAGGTTGAATTGCAGCACCCAAATGTTTCTTTAGACAAGAAACATGAAAAACCGGGTGTAACTTGGATGTTGCTGGAAGCTTTAATTTGTAAGCAATTGGACCGATCTTAGCCAATATTTCACAAGGGACCATAAAATTTTGGTTGCAACTTATGGAAGGGTGAGAAGCCAATGACATCTGTTGATAAGGTACCAATCTCACATGAGCAACTTCCAATTTAGTTTTAAGCAGTGACAACAGTTTGTCTCTCTAACAAACTTCTATTAACCATTTCCAACTTAGTAGTACCAGCTTAATAGACAGGAAGAGATGGATGAGGTTGACCATAAACCACTTTATATGGAGATAGTTTTGTAGCAGAATGATAAGTTGTGTTATAGCTCCATTCTACCTAGGGTAGCCACATAGACCATATCTTAGGTTGAAAACTACAAAAACACCTTAAGTATGTCTGCACACACTTATTAACTACTTTTATTTGATCATCAGTTTGAGGATGGTAACCTGAACTGAAACACGAGGATGATCCTTAGAGTGCAAAAAATTCTCTCCAGAAAGCACTCATAAACGCAGGATCTGTATCATTGAATATAAAGATTGGCATCCCATGAAGCTTAAAAGTATGTTCAACAAAGAGATTGGTAACTGATGCAAAAGTGAATCGGTGTGACAATAATACAAAATGCCCATATTTGGAAATCCTATCAATTACAACCCAAATAACTGTTTTACCTCTACAAGGTGGCAGTCCTATTATGAAGTCCATTGAGATATCAGACCATATTCTAGAAGGAATTGGTAGAGGGTGAATTAATCCAGCTGGAGCCAAAGTTTGTCTCCAGCAGAAGGACTATTATGATGTTCTTCAAATACAGTTTGTCTCCAAGAGCTAGTGGGACTTAGTACAATTACGTACTTGTACTTTAGGAACCCATTGTCAACCTAGTATTTCAAAAGATTTGAGTGCAGATGAATCTGTGATGTTCTGCACTTCTTGTATTTTTGCCAAAATCCAAGAATCTTGTTCAGTATGTCTTCTCAAATCATCCATCCAACTGAGATATGGATAAGAAATAGCAAGGAATTCCATGTGAGAAGGTTGAGAATCTGGTGGAACCATTTGTGCATCCCTAGGGATTCTAGAGAAGGCATCAGCCACTTGATTATCACACCCTTGTTTGTACTGTATCTCATAGTCGAAACCAAGAAATTTAGAGACCCACTTCTATTGAAAAGGAGTATTGGCTTTATTTTGCAAGAAAAACTTCAAACTATGATGATTTGTTTAGATAATAAAATGCCTTGCCACTAAATATGATTTCCATTTCTTAATTGAATGAATGATAGCCCTCATTCTCTTTCATAAGTTGATATAGATTAATTTATAACACTCAAAGCCTTGTTGGTAAAGGCAATAGGCCTTCCATTTTTCTGTAATACAACTCCAATACCAAAACCTGAAGCATCACTTTCATAAAGGGCTGAGTAAAGTCTGGTAATGCCAATACCTGAGGAGAAGTCATAGCTTGCTTGAGTATATTGAATGTTGTTGTGGCTGCTAAGAACTGTCAAATGACCAATGATTTTTCCAAAATCGGGAATAAATTTCCTATAATACCCTCTAAGCCCCAGAAATCTTCTTAAAGCTTTCACTGATGTTGGAACATGCCAATTGGCTATTGCATCCAATTTAGATGGATTAGTTGCCACTCACTCGTTAGATACTATATGTCCTAGATACTCCACTTGAGCTTGACCAAAGGCACACTTGGATTGCTTAACATACAAGGTATGAGATTGCAGAAGCTCAAATACTATCTTGAGATGTACCAAATGCAATTCCCAAGTTCTACTACACACCAATATATCATCAAAAAGACTAAGACATATTTTTTGAGGTAAGGCCTGAATATCTCATTCATTAGACATTGAAATATGGTTGGAGCATTAGTCAAGCCAAAAGACATAACCAAAACTATTGGTGACCATCATGAGTTCGAAATGCAGTTTTCACAATGCCATTAGGATGCATCATAATTTGATGATAGCCTAATCTTAAGTCTGATTTGGAAAAATACTCAACACCAAGTAGTTTACCTAACAATTCATCGATTAATGGAATATGGAATTTATCCTTAATTGTAATCTCATTAAGGCCTCTCTAATTCTTTCCTTGAATCAATAAGCATGACTACTACCAGTTTTTTTTTTATCATTCCCCCAACCTTTATAGTTTTATTGGTTTAGGAGCAGGAGTATCAAGCAAAGCATATGTAGTAATAGTAGTAATATCAGGTTCTAAGTTTTCTTCCACAATAGCTACAATTTCTTCAGGACCTTGAACATCAGTAAGAAGCAATTGTTTCTTCTCACAAGAATGACCCCTAGTGTACTTTTCTTTGTAATGAAAACAAAGCCCTTTTTTTCCTACAAAACTCAACCTTTTCAGGTGTCAATCTACGCACATTATCATTCTTAAGCTTAATTTCTCCAGGATGTGTGTTACTAACATTGTGTTGAGGTTCTTTTATAGAAGGATTAGCATAAGGATGAGATAAAGTTTTGAACTTTAAATATGATAACTTGGCATCGAGTTGTTCATATGCAGTGGCCACCAATGAAGCAAGATTTTATGAGAGAGGGATTGATATCTTGAGTTCTGTTAGCTAATCTCCTGAATTCCAATATGTAATCTTGCAAAAACCTGTCTTTCGCAGCTTGACCAAGCTCTAACCTAAATCTTCGAACTCTAATGGTCCGAATTCTTGACATAAAGCCCTAGTGAAATCTTCTTATTTGGGGTATTTTGCAATACAATTGGCCCACTGAAACCATTGCAGAGGCTCTCCTTCGAGATGAAAGGAAACCATTTTAACTTTCTTGAGATCTTAGATATTTAAGAAATCCAAGTAGTGATCAACTTTGTAAATCCAGCCCAAAGGGTCGTCTCTATCACCAAATCTTGGGAAATTCATCTTAAGAAATGGAGGGCGCTAGTTCGATGCATTGGGAAAAACTTCTTGGCGAAGTGGATTGGTACCTAGATTAGGGTTCATACCCCTTTGTCGATTTGGATATGACTACCCCTCGAAGATAACGAGTGCAGCTATTGAAGGATCAATTCATGGGTAACTCTGAATTCCCTTCTTCTTGATTTTTTGAACTCATTTCTAGATTCTTTGAATTCTTGCTGGAAATCAGCAAACAAGGATTTGAGATTGGACACACGAGGCTCCATGGTTTTTCTGGAAGCAAGGCGAGTTATACACGAGAAAGGATTAAGCAGGATCGAATGCACTAGTTGATACCAATGATAGAAACCCAACTTCACTTCTTTCTCAATGTAACAGTAACTCTATGTATTTATTACAATATTCAACTTTTACAACAACTTTCCCTTACAACTTTTCTTATATAACAGCTAGCTATCTTAGCCACTAAGAAACCTGCTAACAACCTTATCCTCTAATTGAAACCAACTAACCAACTTCTCATATCCAATTATTAGTTACAAACTAAGTAATTGTGCTGAATCATCATCCTAGTCAAAATCCTATCAAACCAGCTCTAATGGTTAATTTGGTTGCACTAGATATTATCCATTACCTAGGGATTTAAGCTACATTAGTAAGACATGAATTGTAAAACATTAGATACATTTCTAACGCACGGATAGAGATTTGTAACTGATTACTAGAAATGTGCCGTTTGCAAATCTCTCTAAATAGATAAGGGCCCGCCAGCGCACGTGGGTCTCATCTCTATTAGAGAAATGATACAAATCATGGTACAAGTAGATAGTAAGAATATCATTTTTGTTTGTTGGGTGACTTTATAGTACTCATGAGCAGTGCAATTCTAGTTAACTTATCCTAAATTCCTTGCTACTTAGAAATCCGTTGTCCAAATTTATCAAAAAAAAGGTACAAAAGTGCTTGGTGCAATGTCCAGCAGTTTTATTAAGCGAGGACAACAAGGTTACACATTCAACAAGCGTGCAGATGCACAAGTACCAGCTCTTATAGCTTAAGTTTGTATGCTAGGCTCTCTTTCCCACTGAAACGTAAATAATTTGTAAATTAACCACTAAAACTAGCTAGCTGCTGCACGAAAACTCCCCGGAAGCCACACTTCTTAGTAAGGATTAGTTGCTGGCATGGCTCCTGGTCTGGTAACAGATGGACAGAGGATCCAAGTTCAAAACTTGCCAACTAAAATCATATGACCTAGGTAAAATATATTACGCCGTAAAAAACGCTGTTTTTTTAAAACCTACGTATCAAAAATATACCTTAATCTGTGTACTTAGTTCTCTTGTTCTCTCAATGCTCTCATGCCCCTGCAGATCCACATTTCTTGATTTTTGCCACGCAATTGTCTTTAGGCCTAGTATGAGGCAAGTACATCAAGGGGCATCCCGGATTAGTGCGTTCCATCCTGCAGCATTGGTCAGATCACAGAAACATTAGAAGATGATTAAAAATATAACAACCGATTTTCCAATTTTAGTCATGGAGAGGCAATTGGTTTAGAGTACTCACTTATAATTAAGGAGGAAATGGTGAAGGAAAATAGCTATTTCCAGCTTAGCAAGATCATTTCCGGGGCACAGATGGCTTCCAGCTCCAAAGGGAAGAAAACTAAATGCTTTCGGTGTGAAATTCTGGGGCGGCAGAAAGCAATAAACCAAGTCAGATGTAAGTACAAATTATTGTTTGTCATAATTATTAGTAAATTATGGTGCTTAAAAACTTACATCCCATCTGGAAGGGTTGAATTCCATTGGGTTTGGATATAATTCAGAATCATAGTGAATGCTCCTGAACCAAACCAACACTTTCCAGCCCTTGGGAATGCTATAACCTGAAAGCCAAATATTAAGTAAATTCTGAGGTCTAGCAGTTATTTGAAGAAAAATGTGTAACGAGTGAAGATATGTATGCAGAGTAAAAAATACATATGAAAAAAAATCTTAACCTACCGTTTATTTTGACATCCTTCTTTGCCTCTCGAAAGACGGTGAGTGAGAATGTTATCACGCGAAGAGTTTCATCAATCACCTATGGAGTTTAAAACAGTTAGCTGGAACCAATTGGCAACAGCTGAATAAAAAAAAAAAATGAAAATGAAGCCATATTTTGGTACCTGGCAAAGATAGTCCATTTCTCGATATTCCTTGAGTGTCAAGCCCTTCTGCGTTGGTGGCCTCCTCTTGAGAATCTCCTCTTGCTCAGCCTAAAGTTGTCCAAACATGATTACCAAATCCATTTGAAGTATTCAAGAGTTATCAAACCAGAATTTGTCAAAAGATATCAAGGAAACGATAACATCTCTTCATTGAACAATCTTAACAACATAAATATCTATTAATTTGACACATGCGGGCTAATCTAAGTGGATTGATTACGAATGCAAAATGAAAGCTAAAATTTGTGGCTATGGTGAATTGTGACAACGCGCCTGCACAGGCAAATCAGTCCCCTATTATTCAAAAGAAAAATGAGACAGAAAAAAACTACATTCAAGATGAACTACCGAAAAATATGTTAATTCAAATACCTTAGCTCTCTGGAAAGCTTCTGGGTTTGCTTGTAGGAAAACGGTAGCCCACATTATGGTATGGCCGGAAGATTCATGGCCTGCATTCAAGTACATTAACAGTACGTCTATAATGTCCTCATCGTTAAGTTTTCTTCCATCGTCATCCTCAACATCCAGCAGAGCGTCCATCATATCTTTCTTCTTTAGATAGTAGTTTCCGGACTTTCTTTGAGCTCTTCGCTCATCAACAATTGATTGAAATATAGCAACAAGATTTTTCCGAGCCTAAAATGGAAATAACTCGGTTAAATGCTAAAAAATTACAAACACCACTGTCCAAGTTATGAAACACAAAAACCCAACTTATCAGTTCCTCACCTTAAGTGCTTTATGGTATGCAAATCCCGGAAGATTGATTGCCATGGCTCTAACTCCGTAGTTAAGTACTGTGTATTCCCTCTCCAAAGCCTCCATGACTGGCTCGCTCTCTGAGCTAAGAAAGATGTACATAATAATCTTGAAGGTAAGCTTTCTGAGTTGAGTTAAGAACTCTATGTGTCCCAGTTTGGACCATTTTTCCAAGGACGTTATGACAATCTCTTCAATGTACTTCATGTACACAGACAATGCTTCATGACCATTGACTGGAGCTGCTGTTAGTCTCCTTAGACGTTTGTGTTCTTCGTAAGATATACCAATGAATGATTTCTTTCCAATTAGCTCCACAGTAGAAACAGGCCACCCGGGTTTGAATGCATCGTCATCAGTCAAAACTCTTTTACTTGTTTCAGGCGTTGTAACAATGATGCTTGGGAACCCGAACATGAAGGCCTTGTAGATTCCAGTTTTCCCAAATCTGCATTGTTCATTGACAAGGCAACAAAGTTACACTGAAGTTAGTCAAATCGGAGAAACATATTGCACACACAACGATTGAAACTAAGCCGATAATTAACTGTCAATAATTCAAATGAAATTAGTCAACCAAAGAAGAGCTTATGTGTCAAAAATTAAGAAACTCTTCCATTCACATTGTTCAACATTATGGTACAATGTGAATAATGTTCTTTCATCCATGTACCAATTTGTATTGGGTGCATTAGGCGCACTGCATCCGACACTAATAAAAAATGAGTGTGACACATTGCTACATGGTGACCCTACATAAGCGTGCAAGTTTGGACCAAAAACTATTTGCTGCTTCTAAATCTCACAGACTATAGTGCTGGCCACAATGTCAACTTGTTATTTCAGGGTAGTTTTCTAGGGAAAGGGATCCTCTCCGAATCTCTTCCTACTAATCCACCAAATTAGAGAATCTGTGTCATTGAAATTTGATCCAACAACTGAAGTTATTATAACTTTTAAAGTGAGTCTCTATTTGTAGCCGTTAGAACAAATTTCAATAGCACGAATTTCCTGACTTATAGATTAGGCGGAAGGGATCTGTTTCCGTTTTCTAGCATCCATATATATTATTTAATTCTAAACTTTTTAATTTTGTTAGTTTTTTATTTTAGAAAAGGGAAAAAAGAAAGAAGAATATTAAAAGCAATTTCTAAAGAGAATAACTTGGAGAAAAAGCAGTTAGTCAATCAACTCAACAAGGTGGGAACTTATTCTTAATTTTTGGAAATGGAGTCCCACATCGTCATTCCGAATGAGTCTCCATTATATCTCACTTTTGCACTTAAATGCCAAATGGTTTCTTTGGTCAGAAAATGCCAAGTAGTTGATGACAAGGGTGAAGCATATTGAAATTAAAGTAGGCTACTAACTCAAAATATCAACAACTTTACCAAATCATCGCATTACAAAAATGAAGACATTCTCAACCCATCGAAAACTAAACTCTAAAACCATTTTATTTTATTTTTCTTTATTTAAGGTGAATTGAATCTTCATTAGACAAGTATCAATTAGACGCGTAAAGGAATAACCTCATTAAAACCTGCCTCTGGTAAAACCACAAAAATGAATTATGATACAATTTTGTCGAGGAAAGAGAGTGCTACACATATAAAACATAAAACATCTTTTCTTTTAATGTTTATTGTTAAACTCAAATTTTTTGTAAACATGATTTGGGATATTTTATAGTTTAAGCATCCCACATGGACAATTTGGTTTAACATGCACCACCCGTTGCCTGTCTATGACTCCCACATGTACAATTAGTGTGTGGGACATAGAAGGAGGAGATAAGCCCGTCTTATCAAAGGTCAAATAAAAACCCGTCATGTTAACATATGTACTTGACACAAATTCAACTTACTTTTTCGATAGTTTTAGTTTAAAATCCTATGTGAACAATTTACTTGTAGTGTAAAAACTAAGAGGATGTGTGAAATATATCTGCTAAGAGAATAATTTACACGACACAAAAAACTATTGTAGCAGGAGGCATTGAGCCTTCCTAAGCATGCACATTGTGGGGTTGAATAAGCATGTGGGGCACTGCTGAAGATCACGAGTTACGGTTGGGGATTGACTGCCAAAACCAAGGGTTTCAAAAAAAAAAAAAACAAGGGCTTTTGTGCAGAAAACATACAAAATAAGGAACGGTGAAAATTTGGGAGTATTTGCATGAAGTGTGGTGCGCAGTGACCCACATCTTGTATAGACTGTCCTCTACAAGTGTCAAATATGCACAGAAAAATCAGTTACAAAAGCAAATTACAAGAAAAAACCTTCGGTTACAAATGTGACAGTAAAAGTGAAAAAAATGGCCTATTATAAAATGTTTTTTTGTAACATTTAGTATTACGGTTTAACGATATATTCAATTTTATTTAGAAATGAGAGGTCTTAGGTACGATTATCGTTAAAAGAGAATTTAAAACACATTATTACTAGCTCATTGTGAAGTTAAGCTCATTCTCTCTCCTTAATATAAATAATATCATTTGTTAAAAAAAAAAAACGTTTTTGTTAACATTGTTTATTCTCTACTTCACTAAGGTTACGTATGGTAAGACAGACGTACAGCACAAACTTTCCCTTGTTGGGCCATATTGGTAAATTCAACATCAATTTACAATACCGCATAGAGAATGCAGTGTATATCGAGAATGTACCAGATACTGTAAATTCGTACAGGAAGTTATATTTTTTTATTGAATATCAAACAACATAAGAAGAACAGTATAACTGTAGCAAAACAGACATACAGATAGAGAAAGAGAGGTGGAAATTGACCTGGAAACAAACTTGTCGAGAAAGGACTCAGGATTGTTAGACTTGAAAGCTCTGAGGAAGGACCACATGTTGCCAATGAAAGGCAAGCCCAAGTCACCAGGTGGGAGGGAGTACCGCCTTTCACCCAGCTGGGTTTCATACAGCAACCGATTTGCATTCTTGATAAGCCACCAGAAGGCCACAAGTCCAACAAAGCTCGACAGAAGTAACATCCAAATGGAAGCCAGCCCCGTTCCCACACCCACTACCAAACCCAGCACCATGATTTTCTTATGCTTTGTGATGACTCACTATTCACTCACTTAAGAAACAGGGAATTAATATAAACAGAGAGAGAGAGAGAGGGAGAAGAAGCTCAAAGTTTGAGTGATATCCCTCAGTCTGTCTGTTTCCGTGTCTCTATGTTTGCTCCTTTATATACAATTTAGGCATGGCTAAAAATATAGCTCTTTGTATTAATGTGTGGGGAAATATTACAATACATATAAGGTTATATTAAATTCTATTTAGGTAGGAATTTTATATTAATTATAATTTCAAATTACATTATTATAATACATGCAATAATTACGAAGAAGATTTTGAATTAACTAAATTCCCAAAGCGGTATAAAAAAAAGTAGAAAAAAATTTCCCAGATAAAGAAAAACGTAGAAAAAAAATTTCCCAGTGAAAATTCAAAAAATTTGTATAAAAAAAAAGTAGAAAAAAGAGAGGAGAGAAATTATAAGTGAACTGAAAAAAAAAAAAAAAAAACGAAACTGTGGTATTTACATGGCGACAGAGACACGTATAGGTGCCGGCCCTTTAAGGCTTTACCTATATTTTTTTGTTTTGTCTTGCTATAAAATTGTCTTTGATTCTTTAACCTGCACCATTCGTCATTCGTGTATACTATTATTTTGGCCTGTTTATTATCTAAAATCCATATGAAATAATGTTTAAATTTGGACTAAATAAGATCCTTCTGGGAAATTAAAGAAGAAAAATTCGCAGGCTAAATACAATGTATATCCATAGTTAAAAAATTAATAAATACAATTTACATAAATATTAACTATACCATGTAAAAATAATTACTATGTTTCTTATGAATTTGAAGTGACTAGATACTAAGGATAATATAGACCTAATACAAAATTAATAAGGATAAGCGTGAAATGACTTACTTGGAATCCCATCCAAATCCACAACCAAATATGGTAAGAGAAATTTTATTTATATCCATGTTTTGTTTGTGTACACACGACTTACTCTCTATACTTACATACTAGTTTATTTAACTCTAATTATCTCATTACACCCAAAAATTAGTTCGTACACTACCCTCACTTATAAAAAAAAAAAAAAAAAAAACCAACTCAACTCAATTATCTACATTTCTGACACACCCCAACCAAAATCAAGGCGTGCTAGCTGTCACGTGAGGGTGACGTAGCTATGTGCACAGTGCGGAAGCAATAATAATACAAGAAATGCGAATAAATAAAAACCAAACTAACTAGAGCACTAAATAAGTTAAGGTGCGAGATGAAATAAGTGTGAATTCACAACTAGAGCATAAGTAGTCTAAGTGCAGTTCAGCAAGACGAATACTAATTATACAACACCAAAGGTAATCCTACAATGGTGATAATCTGTCAGAGCTACCGTGGATTCCTCGCAAGCCACCAAAAAGCACTCCTAACTAGAACCCAAAGGGGCGCAAAACAGAAAGTGTGAGTGGGCAAAAACAAAACTTTTCAAAATCATTTCATTTCTCAAAAGTTCTAACCATTCGCTGTAAAACCTGTATAATTTCCCAGAAAATAGAATACATAACTATACCACAACCATGCTCAGAATAGCCAAAATTCACAAATATGCCATGTCGAATATCTCAACATCAAATATATGTAAGCCAGGTGATATAAATCAATGCGAATGATATGTCAGCCAGAGTCACCTAACATGATCTGTACGACTCAAATCCACATCCTAACTCTGAGCGGGAGCACTAACACCGGGGTGCAGGTTTATGAGCTCTCAACACATCTCACATAATCATCATTCACATAAACAACCTACAACTCACCTGGTACTTACCTGAGTGTCCACCGCGTCAAATCACAATATGCACATATCATACAAATTCATAATCTAAAAAAACTTCTCTTTTAATGAAAAACCCTTTTTAAAGGTATAGTGAATAGTACCAGGGAAAGGTATAAATATGGTTTTTCGTTAAAAGTGAACAGTACCGGGAGTGTTTTGTTAAACCTCTCTATATAATATGGGTATAATTCTAATTGTGGGACCATAATTTTTCAGGGTTGTAGTAAGCTGATTCCAAGACAGTTACCTCAGAAGTTCGGTCATGAACTCTCTAGCTCCATGCCGAGCTATATCAGATGGAGCAGTGGTGCCACCATCACCTTGTTCTAGGGCAATAGGTAGAGTTTTAGCGACACCACTGGATGACCATGGTGGTTTCGCAAGACACGTGATCTGATCCAAATGTGGGCACAATCAGATCTTATAAGTCTTGAAACTCTTACAATCTAGGAATTGGTGTGCGTCGCAAGTAATCACAATTCCTAAGAAGGTGCAATATCTACTTTTAGATATCCTCTAGGATTTTCCTGACTTAGAATGAGGATTCTATCCTAAAAAGGTCTCTTTCCCACGATATAATACACCATCTGAGGTTCATCTTTGGTATTGCAATCTAAAACACTTGATTTTCTTGCTCACTACTTGAGTCTAAAATCATTCACTACTTGACCGTTGGGGATCATTTGGCCAGTATACCTTCCGGTTTTAGGCTTGCTCATAGTTGTTGATTGTTTTACAGGCTAGAGTTTGTGCATAACCACCACTCATGGCGGTGCACGAATCTGGGTGCACAAATCTAGTTCCACAATTGGTTCTTTCATTGAGAGTAGAACTCATATTCCTTTCGGCCAAATCATTTTGCCAAATTGACATTTAGCGTTAATCGCACTGGTGCGGATAACCCACATTTTGACGCATCAATCATTCTTGGAATAAACAACCCGCCACCACAGGTCATTGCGACCCTTGGGGTAAGTAACGACCTGCAGGGAGCCACCACACATGGGAATGGCAAAAATCCCGCCAACATATCACCTCCCTCCATGGACCAGATTTGGGAGACTTTAACCAAGATCAACCCTTCTGTTGAAAAGCTAAAAAGAACTAAACCTCTACTCGAGCGGAAAGTCACTCCAACTTTGTAGACATGGAGAGGCATATAAAGAACTTGGAGAATTCAAGCAGAACAACCCCATGAAACCAAATCCTTGTTTTTGGATACAGAAACATAAGCACCATAACCCTTAAAGGAAACCCCATAATGTCGTTTGTTGTTCTGACATTGGCAAATATCATTAATCTGAGCAGAGATCCGCTACACAATGGTAAAGTTGCTAAAGCAATTTCTTAGGGGTAGCCACAAAACCCATATAATCCCCCTTCAAACGCCATGGGAACGCTAAGGGTAGAGCTCCGTTATTAGAGATTCGACAAGTCTGAGTCTTCTAAGGCCAAGAGTAACGACTTCTGGACAAAGAAAATCATATAAGCTTAGCTAGGTGAGATCAACCTCTTATTCCAAACATGCTTACAATCCGGGTTAAGACACTGCTTTCAATGGCAATTGAGGATGTAACTTCATCGAAAAAGTTTTCCCAGCCAAGGTTCAAGTCGTTTCGTGACAATTCTGACCCCAACTACCACATCAGGCATTAGTGGAATGTCATGGCACTAGACAACAATGATGATGCATGGATGTGCAAGATGTTCCCATCTACTCTTGGGTGACCCGCAATGAGATGGTATTCGTAGTTGCCAACCAGGTTCGTCAACTATTTTGAAAGTTTCGTCGACATGCTCACAAAAATTTATTCGGTATACCGAGACATTCGTAAGTGTCACGAAGCTATGTTCCGGATGCCCTCAGTTTAAGGATGAAAGCCTCAGAACCTACCTAAAGCGCTTCCAAGCAGAACTGGCGGAAGTGGAGAAACCTGATGGCAAGTTAGCCATTATGACGTTCAAACAAGGGTTGTACGTCCATTCACCTCTTTCTCAGAAACTTAACAAAGGAAAGCATGATTACGCCACTTTGGCAGAGTTCTTTGATATTATAGATGCTCTGACTGACTAGGTTGAAAAAAGCAAAAGAACAATAGTTGAATCAGATTATTCTAGGGAAACTAACAAAAGAAAGGCTAACAAAAACATACCCCCTCCTTCTCCATGATGCTAAACCAGTATACCACTTCGAACACCATAATCAATAACATCCTTCATAACATAAAGGACAAACCATTCCTCAAGCACCTAAAGCCGCTATCGGAGCACTTAGCAAAGAAGAATCCAAACGAATACTACAAGAGAAATGGCCATGCCACCAGAAGTTGCCGAGTGTTGAGGGACCACATCAAAGAGCTCCTAGATCAAGGGCATTGCTGGGATTTTGTAAGAGACAAAGTAAGGAAATAAGGCTCAATTGAAACCAAAGATAGGGATCGATTTGATAAACACACTAATGATAAGACTGACGATCGGCAAAAAAGCCTACCCTTTACATAAACTGCATCCATGAAGGGTGAAAAACTCCAAAAGATAGAAAAGCAACGAGAAAAGTCACAAGAAACCCAATGCCGATAACCTTGAGATAGATCTTTCGCCATCACCTCCAAATCAAGTAAAAAAAAAAAGGTAATTCAAACTAAACATGGTTTGATTCTCTTCTAGGGATATGTAGGCAAAGTACTCTGGACTCAATCACAACGTTGCCATCTGCACGAAGACAAGTCCACGAAGAACTCATCTCCCAACGCCTTACCATAGGCTTAACGTTAAAAGTGATCCTGATGTTATTTTTACACCATATCATCTTTTTCTTATAACTACACCAGTGATTTGATTCTCCATCCTGGAGATATGTAGACAATTCTTTATGGATTCAATCACACCCCCCTTTATCAATCTTATTTTAGGTATGAATAAAAGAAGTTTTGATCTACAAATACCTATTCTATCTTTTCTTTTCTTTTTAATGCATGGAATATCTTGTTCATCCCACACAAACGCATAAACTTTGATAACTTCGTATGAATGCAAATCTAAAAATTCAAAGCAACATTGTTAATTGAGTCTCTTTTAGCCTAGTTCGCGTTGAAGTTAGCAACTTGAGAGACTCGAACTGTAATAAACGCGATAATTGTTGGTGGGCTACAGGCACGGGCATATGGCGACCTGACTCATAAGTAAAATGCACTATTTGACTTCTAGAAAGTTTATACAACAAGCAGAGTTGTGGATTATAACATTCAAACCCGAGCTCTACCCCATTCAAAAGAATAGTCGAAAGGGCCATCCAAAAATCATCTGAAGGTGGCTTTGAACTCCAACCCTAGGTACGACTACTTTTAGAACGGA